GGAGACCTTCCAGCAGCCTCCCAGTACTTAATGGGAGCCTACAGGAAAGCTGGAGAGGGACTTTTTACAAGGGCGTGTAGTGACAGGACACGGGGCAATGGCTTTACATTGAAAGAGGGGAGATTTAGATTGGAGATAAGGAAGAAATTCTTCCCTCTGAGGGTGGTGAGGCACTGGCACAGGTTGCCCAGAGAAGCTGTGGCTGCCCCATCCCTGGCAGTGTTCCAGGCCAGGCTGGATGAGGCTTTGAGCAACCTGGTGTAGTGGAGGGTGTCCCTGCCCATGGCAGGGAGGCTGGAACTGGATGATCTTGGAGGTCCCTTCCAATCCAAACCACTGTGTGATTTCTAGGATTCTAAGCGTAGTTAAGAAAGTTAGGATGCAGTAAGGGATGTAATTGTCACATCTGGCTCATAGGACCAGGGAGCATGGGACAGGGATGCCCAGCAAAGCAGTGTTCATCGTAAGACAATCTCCCTACTAAAACATTCCCACTAAAAATACTTGCTCATGTTGCTATAATCTAACTATTTAGAAAACAGAAAATGAAAATTGGATTGCTGACAGACATCTTTCATCATCCTGCTACCTGCATCCATGCTCTAGTAGTTAAGCTGTCACGATAAGAACGTCATCAGATTTTTTTTTTTTTATTTGGAAGGGACCTATTTCGCAAGAGATGCATCGTATTCCAGTCGTTTCTGCAAAGAGGACATGAAGCACGGAGATACTTTTCAAATTCACGGGGTGAACCTGCAGCCTCATCTGCAAAGACCAGACAAAGTCATGTTTCTTGCCCGTGTGTTAACTGGTGACTATATCAACGGTGACTCAAAATACATGAGGCCTCCTTCCAAGGATGGAAGTTTTGTGAACTTGTATGACAGCTGTGTGGATAACACCTGGAACCCCAAAATCTTTGTGATCTTTGATGCCAACCAAATCTACCCTGAGTACTTGATAGAATTCTGTTAATTTCAAAGGAGCTGAACTGAATGTTGTCTGTGTCTCTTTGATACTCATGTTCCTTTTGTAAAGACACCGGTTAAAACCGCGAAGCGTGAGAGGAGAGGGGTGAAAGAGCAGCTAGCACGTGTTTATGGGGAGGGAAGCTACGAAACATTTAAGAACTCGTTGAACTGTTTTTCAAAATCTGTAAACTTTACTAACGCGTTTTCCAAATGCAGAGACTATTACACATGTGAAACTGCTGAGTGAGCCTTAAATATGTTGGGCATTGGTAAGTTTTTCAAAGGTTTATGTGCTCAGTTTTTTTAATATATTACAAGTATTTATTAATGTGGTAGAAATATGCCTGTAATATATATAGTCTGCATATGATGCAACTGATCTTTTATAAAGATTGCCCGTAGAACATAAAAATAACAACAGAACAGGGGACTTGGCTACGTGTGTGTAGGTCTGTGTTCTGTAGCACATGTTGCTTTGTGTTTGGAGATCTTAGTTTGGATTCTAAACCTACCAAAAAAAAAAAAAAATCCATCTGGAGAAAACTCAGGAAGGAGCTATAAAGTTCACCAGAGCTGCTGTCTGTAACTTCAGGTACGTTTTGCTGGAAGCTTCAGTTTTATACTTGGGAAGCTTTAATCACACACTTGGAAGATGGCAGAACTCTTGCAGTAGGATTTGAACTTGGGCTTTGATGGAAACTGTACCCAGAGCTCTTGTGGTTGTTCACTGTTTGGGCTGTAATGTTGAGCTCAGTGTTGGATATCAGCAATGCCATCCACCTTCCTGAGCTCTCATTCTATAGGATTTTTGCCCTCTTGTTGCAGTTTGCTCGTGCATGCACTTCCATTCGTGCTGCTGGGGTTCTTGCCTGCGCAGGCTGTAAGAAGCAGCGTACCTGCTGTTACTGAAGACAGCGTTTAGATTAACTTTACTGGAAATAATACAGTTCAACTAATGCTGAAAATCCAGAAGATACCACCCTTTAATTTTTATTCATTTTTAAAAACTTTAATAGAAAGCTTTCGACAACACTTGTGTAGATCACGTTCTCCTAACTGGTGTAGTTGTGAAGTTAAAGCGTGTTTTTCACATGTAGAAAGAGCAGAAGGGACGACATTCAGGTAAAGAACGACCCTGAGTGCCTAAATACATGAAGGGCCTGAAGAAGGGGTTGTGAAATGCCCTGACTGGCACCCCCAGATGCCCTTTGCAATATGCCAGTGCAGATAGTGATGTGTTTAGGTTACAGACCTGGGGGTGACCAAGCAGCCAGTACCTTTTTTTCCCAGTCAGTATCTACCTTTGAGCCAGTCCAAGAAAGTAATCCCAACTGAGACCGGCTGGTGTGATGAGGCTTTAGCAGAATGATTGGCTGTTGGACACACTGTGTGTATTAACCAGCAGGATTGACTTTAAAAAGACTTTTTTTTCTAGAAAAGAGCCGGCTGACACAAATAGTTCCATCGTAGATTTTGTGTTTTCACAACTGTTGAGAACCCTGCATCCTTGACAAAGCACTGCCAACTAATTACTGGGTGTATATGACAGTGGCTTAAGTAGCAGCTCCAGATGGATTTTTTTTTTAAAAGTTTTGATTCTTTTTTCGTATAAGAAACACAACCCAAAACAATGGGATAAGACAAGGACAAGAGATGGGAAAAGTGGGAGAAAAATGGTTCCATAAGTGACATAGTGCAAGTGTGTGCATGTACACCGGAGCTGGGGAGTGGCCGCAGGAAGGGGAGAGAACATGAAAATGTTACTGCTTTAAATCCTGTTAAATGTTTAAATTCGGTTTTCATGCTGATGATCTTCCTGAATGTTCAGCCTGGTGTATTCCCAGTGAGACGGGCTATTGGATAGTCGGGGACCTATAGTGGAATTTTCACCTCTTTTGGCACTTGGTGATGAGGGCAGACTCACTGAAGTACAGAAACGATAGAGAACTGCCAGAAATGAGAGATGGAGCTACAGCACCTCTTCTGAGCACCTGTGTAAGGAGCATGGGATAGCAGTTACTGGTGTCTGCTGGAAGCACAGCTGGCTTCTTGTGAGGCCAGCATGCTTCCCAGAATACCCCCACACCAGTGACATGGCATACATCTTGTCTTTCCATCTCTTCCACTGCAAGTGTGTGATATAAATTTGACTGTGCTGAATTGATGACTCCAGGGTGATGAAAGGAGCCAAAAAAATGTTCTGGTTTATGTTAATGAATAGGAAGAAACGGTGTTACTGCTCTAAATCTGTGGTCTGTGAAGCAGTTGATTTCTGGACAGGAACTCCGTTGCGTGCACACACCAGTTACTGCAACGGATCCCCGTTTTTCTTGGCCTTTGGCTGCTGTGGAGGTAAATAGGACCGTTTTCCAGTTTCACAATACAAACTTGCTCTGTCTCTTTGTAAAAAAACAGGTTGCTATCAAGCATGCTGATAAGGAGGTGAGTTTCGAAAAGTTTTCCTTTGATGCACAAAAATCTTTCACTGAACAGTATTCAACACTGTTTATGAGAATTGCGTTAGGGAAAAGAACATAGTTCTCTTTACAAAAACTGTTCATTTAAACTGGAAAGCCCTGAGTGGGAGAAATGGGACTAACAGAGCTTTTAGCTGTCGGTGCACTTGGGTTGTTTCTCAGCTGTGGGCAAAAATAGAGAGTTTACTCCATCAGCGTAACTAAGTTAGGGGAGGAATTGATAAGGCAGTATATAATTAATTAGTAGGATTTAATCCAGGATACCTTATCCTTAAGAGAACAGATGAAGATTTTTAATGGCAGTGTGTTTTTAAGACTGGTTTATGGTTCAGCACACTGTGGAACATCATTGAGTAAAATCAGAACTGTACCGTGGCACAGACTGAGAAGTCCATCTACTGTACAGCTGCCTTCACGTTCTCGCAGCGAAACGTGCCAAAACGGTATGTTTCCTTTAAAGTAAAAATGAAATGCCTTTTAAAAATTAAAAATTCAACTCCTTTTCAGTTTGAGAAATAGGAAGAGTGTGGCTGTAAAATGTCCTAGGAAGACAATCAAGATGGAGAACTGCTTCGAACGTTCCCCTGGGAACGTTGAGGGTTTTAGCATTTCAGAAATGGGTTTGCTTAGCCCTGAGGGAAAGGGCTTGGAAGAGCATGATGGACATGAGCATGCACAAAGAGTGCACTTTCACTTTTAAGGGGAAGAAGTAGGTCACTGTAGAGTAGATAGCTGATTCGGTTTCCTCTAAAGCCACAAGAGGTAGAAAGTGCTGAGCTGGAACGGGGCAGAATGGATACTGTCTCCTGAGAGACAGGGCAAATAAGCAACGTAGCTCTTGGGTCTTCTTGCTGTGTGAACTCTTGTTTACACAAACACACCTGCTAATCCATGCTTTATGGCTGAGCTGATGTCACCTTGCTGGAAAAAATGCCAGTTTATTTCACAGCTCTTATTAATCATGTGCCAATGCTGAGCTACCCGGGGTTTAAGAAAAACATTTCTAATGCAGGTGCTATGGAAGGAAATACTTTTCTTGTTAGTTTTTTTAACTTATTAGACATTGTGCCCAAGAATGGTCCATCCCAGCATCCAGAAAGTCAAGCAAAAGTGGCAAGATGCCTGCACGGATGAACAGGGAGCTCCTGGCTGCACTCGGACATCAACAAGAAGGACACAAGGTGAGAGCACGGAGAGGTGACCTGGGAGGAATACAGCAACGCTGTCCTGAGCGTGCACACGCAGGTTTAGGAAAGCCAAAACTAACTTGGACTTGAAGGTGGGGAAGGATTCGAAAGGTGACAGAAAGCAAAATGAAAATAATTAGGGAAGCGATGGGCCTGTCGCTGAATGGGACGGGAACCTGGTGACAAA